TTTCCTGTGTTTCATTCAGGCCCCTCACATAATATTTTTGGCTTTGGTGCAAAGCTAAATCCGGGCCCCTCTTATACAATAATTAATTTTTAAACATTTTTCTAACACATATTGAAGTAATTATTTGCATAAATTCCGGGCCCCAGTACGATGGGTTTTTTTGACCCCCCTCCCTTGCGGGAACCCTGATTACATTTTAAAAAAAGGACAAGTCACAAATGGTATTTTTTATTTTACATTTTTATAAAACGTTGGTTTGCTTCACGTCATAGATCTCTTATGCGTAAATGCGATTAATATTTTTTCTATCTTATTTCTTCGGTAGTCTAAAGCTGGGCATTCAACTAAGTGAAGTATAACTTATTAGTAACTTAAAATTATTTTTAATAGTTATATCTATACTAGGTTAGGAACATTAAAAGTAGTTGAACTTTAATACAAAAAAAAAAAAAACATTATAGGTACCTATACAAAAACATGTTTCCTCCTCGTCGGGATGGTGGCTGTTTTCGAGACGGCATAAAACGATGGCGTGCATGAAAATCTTTGATAAACCATCTACTATATATGTGTATTCATTTTATATTTTGGACGTTATTTCAGCGGCCCGACGACTTCTCCGTGGACATGCAAGATTCATCCCTTGTTCAACGCCGTCACGTCGGCCGCGTGCGTGGTGATGGCGTGGGGCTTGATGTATTTGTTCTTCGACATGACACCAGGCTCGCAGCTGGCCTCGGTCGTGTTGCTGATCTCGTGCTCATGGGCGTGCGGCAAGATCGCAGAGATGCTGTACCTGCCACCGCTGCTCGGCATGCTCCTTGCCGGGGTCGTTCTTCGCAATTCCGGTCACTACGATGTGGACCAAAACGTCTTCCAGCCGCACATCATCAATTTGAGGTCCGATTGTGTCGCCCGGCGGCGACTTACGACAACATAATGTCACGCTTATTTTATTACCTGTTCCGCAATACTCATCGGTGGCGTAATTACCGTTATCCCCAATGTGTATACGGGGAGTGAGATGAATATTTCACCATGAGCAAACATTAAATTATACTTAAAATAAAATTCGTTCAAGGTCAATATTAATTATACTTTATTTCCGAGAAAAAACAATCACAAAGTTATATTACCGAATTGTAGATAATTACAAAATAATTTGACTTTACATAAAGCTATGTCTCCAGATCTTTCCCCACTACGATTACAACACTTACTCATATCGTTATTCGTTATGTACCTATGACACAGCCAATAGCCATGCAATACATCATCTACAATGTTCTTATATAATCAAAATATTTTTCTTCGTATTTTTTAAAAACCAAAATTAGGAATCTACATATAGATAATTTATATCTACATTTAATAAGTTGAATTATTATGTAATCTAACCTAAATAATACACACACATATACCTATATATTTATATGACATATAATAAAAATATGTACTGCAGGGAAGTGGCGCTCACTGTGTTGCTGGTGGCATCCGGTCTCAGCCTTGACCCAGCCATGTTGAAAAAGCTCAGTCTCGTCGTCACCCAACTTGCCATACTGCCGTGTATTACCGAAACGATTGCTGCAGCCGTTGTTACGCACTACCTACTTGGACTACCGTGGATGTGGGGACTATTGCTTGGGTAAAAATCTTTTTCATATAACATTATACTTATTTATATATTATCATCATATAATACCATACCTAAAGTGGCGGACCTAGGATTTTGTTTTTTTTTTTTTTTGTAATAAAGTACTATTATGATTTAAATTGTCAGATTATTTTGACTGATCAGTAACCACA